TGGGGAGTGAATCATCGGACGGAGGATCTTCCTCTCTGTCTCTCCTCTCTGTATATCTGCCTTTCCAATCAAAAAATAATAAAAATAAATCTTTAAAAAAAAAATAAATAAAAATCCAAGTGGTTAAGGTCCTTGCCTTGCACGCCCGGGATCCCATATGGGCGCCAGTTCTAATCCCGGCAGCCCCGCTTCCCTTCCAGCTCCCTGCCTGTGGCCCGGGAAAGCAGTCGAGGACGGCCCAAAGCTTTGGGACCCTGCACCCGCGTGGGAGACCCGGAAGAGGCTCCTGGCTTCGGATTGGCATAGTATCGGCCGTTGGGCTCACTTGGGGAGTGAATCATCGGATGGAAGATCTTCCTCTCTGTCTCTCCTCTCAGTATATCCGCCTTCCCAATAAGAAATCCACATACAAAGTGGAAATAGTAACTTTTCCATATCACATGATTTTACAAAAGTTTTTCTGGATTCAGCTTAGAAAATTAATCTAAAAATGGCTTGCCTTAGAAGGAATTGTATTAGCTTTTGATCCCTACAATGAAATACCTGAAAAAAAAGTGAACTGTATAAGGAAAAAAAAATACTTATGTCACTCACAATTTTAAATGTTCATTTCCAAGATCAGGTGGCCCCACTGGGTTAGCCTTTGGTGAAGATGATGGTGGCACATGAAGTGCAGGTCGAGGAAGGATGATGTGGTGAGCGTCCAGTATGGGCTGCTCGGGTTTGGGAGCCATATCCTATTTAAACCACAGCAGACATTGATCAAGAAGCATCCATCTGTTGCTTTTTTAAAAGTCTAGCAAATGGTGGAAAACAGGCATTTTCATACAGCACATCTTCATTATTACCACTAGATCTATTTGTGCTGCTGCTATTTGTGATTCCTGTAAGCTGGCTCTTCTAGCAGAAAGGCATTTTCAGGGGTCGGTGTCACAGTTTGACCAGCTAATCCTCTGCCTCCAAACACCAGCATCCCATATGGGCACGAGTTCATGTCTTATCTGCACTGCTTCCCCTCAGCTCCCTGCTAATGGCCTGGCAAAGCAGTGGAGAATGACCCAAAGCCTTGGGCCCCTGTACCCACGTGCCAAGACCCAGAAGAAATTTCTAGCTCCCGTCTCCTGGTTTTGGATCAGCTTAACTCTGGCCATTGTGACCTTTTGGGGAGTTTAAACAGGGGATGGAAGATCTGTCTCTCTGTTTTTACTTCTCTCGATAAACCTGTCTTTGTAATAAAAATAAATAAATCCTTTAAAAATAATAAAGAAACCTTTTTTGAAAAAGAAAGGTATTTCCAAATATAATACCAAGGGGAGGGCAGGCATTTGACCTAACAGTTAAGATACCTGTATCATACAGCAGAGTGCTTGCATTCAGTACTTGCCTCCAACTTGGCCTCTCATGCAGACCCTGGAAGCCAGGCAGCAGTGATGGCTCCAGTAGTTGGGTTTCCTGCCACCCTCTTGGGACATCTGGATTGAGTTGGGTTTTCATCCCAACTAGAGGCTGTTACAAATATTTGGGAAGTACACCAGGAAGTGGAAGAGCATTCCTCTCCCTCTCCTTCTCTTTTCTTTCTTTCTTTCTTTCTTTCTTTCTTTCTTTCTTTCTTTCTTTCTTTCTTTCTTTCTTTCTTTCTTTCTTTTCTTTCTTTCTTTCTTTCTTTCTTTCTTTCTTTCTTTCTTTCTTTCTTTCTTTCTTTCTTTCTTTCTTTCTTTCTTTCTTTCTTTCTTTCTTTCTTTTCTTTTCTTTTCTTTTCTTTCTTTCTCCTTAAACAAACAACAATAAACCAAAGTGGCCAGCCCCTGAACCTGCAGGGGGCAGAAGCGGTTGCTCCCAACTCCCCTTGCCAGCTAGCGGCCACTGTCTCACCTTTGCTTTCTCATGCAGCTTACTCTGGCCACTTGGTCTGCCTGGTGGTTCTTGCCTGCTGGAAGCCTGGGAGCCAATGGTCCTCCCATTCAAAGTTCCTCTCCCCTGCCTCACGGCAGAGCCACTGCTGGGGATCAGGCCCACATTAGCTGCTATGAGCCTCTATATGCTTGCGCAACTCTCTTCCCTCGCCTGCTTGATCGCTCCCTGAGACATTCTAAGAGTGCCCTTCTCCACGAATCTCACAGAGGACAATAATGCTTTTGTTTATTTCTTCGTGTGTTTGTTTGAAAGGTCCAGTGTAGTTTGAAGGCCAACTGATAATGAGAACTGCGAGAATGTGTTCATCCCAGTTGTATTGAAACATGTTATTAAACTGCATATTAGAAGTGCAGCAGAAAAGAAAGGGGCTTTGTCTGAGAAACAAAACAGCAGAAACAGTTTCCCTGGGATTCTAAGGCAGCCATAACTAGATTTACCAATTTCACACAGCCCTGTTTGTGCTCCATTTGTCTCTTTTTTCTCTTTAAGACTTACATTTTTATTGGAAATGCTGATTTAGAGAGAAGGAGAGACAGAGAAAAAGATCTTCTGTCCACTGGTTCACTCCCCAAGTGGCTGCAATGGGCAGAACTGAGCCCATCCAAAGCCAGCAGCCTGGAGCCTCTTCAGAATCTCCTATGTGGGTGCAGGGTCCCAAGCCTTTAGGCCATCTTCTACTGTTTCCCAGGCCACAAGCAGGGAACTAGGTGGGAATGGAGCAGCTGGGACACAAACCAGCGCTTACATGGGATCCCAGCTTGTGCAAGGCAAGGATTTAGCCACTAGGCTGTTGTGCCGGGCCCTGTGTTCCATTTGTAGTAGCACTGTAGCTAAAACAATCCTGGGAGTTGCACACCTCAGTTGCACTGCAATAAAATTTAGTTTCTAAGTGCCCGTTCCCTGTGGTGGAGTACCTGGGTTTCTCTCTGAGCTCTGCCTCATGGTTTCAGCTAGCTGCTAATGTATGCCCTAGGAGGCCACTGGGGTAGTTAAGGGGACTGTGTTCTCGGTTTAGCTCCCACCTCCACGTGCTGTAGCCTTGTGGGGAATGAACCAGCAAATATTGCAGGATTAGGAAGCTAGAAGTCACTTGTGGCTGTTATTTTCTAACAAAAGTTAAAACAAAACTGGCAACTTGAAATTAAAATATAGCAGGGTTTTGATGTATTTTTCTTAAGACATCCGTGTAACCTGTTGAAAACTCTGACATGAAGTGTCCACATCCTCAAAGGTTACTAGAGTTTTGTTTAGTTGTGAACTTGCTCTGGCTTTCAGTGACAGGTATGTAGATACTAACACACAAACCACATCCGTTTTTCATTTTGTAGGACATTGTAACCCTAGAAGGTCAGGGAGCACAGGATTACAGTTGATTGGACAATATTTGTATGAAAACAACTGAATGGATGCCTTTTGCGTGACTGATTGAACATCCTTGTTTTTATTTTTATTTATTTTTTATCTGATTGGATATCCTTTACATGAGAACAGAATAGCTATCTTTTGTATGCCTGATGGGATATCATTTGTATAAGAACAGTTGAGTGATCAGTTTACAACTGATATCCCATCTGATAAGCCATAACAAGTAAGCATACCTCCCAATGCAAGAAGAGTCTCTGATGTGGTTTCATTACTTGATAACACAGTAAAATATGAAATCTTTTTTTCTATAGATTGTGTAAATATATGTGCCACCATGTATTAGGGTCTGGTAGTGACACTATTTTCATTTGTAAATGCCCTCATCTTGACATAAAATATTATTTTGACAAAATAAAAAAATAAATAAATAAGAACAGTTGAGTGGACAGCATGTGAATGAGAACACATGGCAGAATATACAAAACAAAAGGAGTTCCAAACAATAGAAATAGTTGATGGTTTTTTGAAAAGCTCAATACCTCCTGCCTTATCCTATATTGACCCTCAGGGTATAAAATCTGTTGCCCCTGATAAATTTCTGCTAATGACCATCAGTCAGTAGGCCACGTGTGTTATTATCGGCTCCGTGGACCAAGTCCATTGCTGCAGGACGCCGACACATTTGATGCCACTTTATAGGTCACCAGATGAGACAGTAGGTCTTTAATGCTAAAGGTCATCATAGCACAGTTTCCAGGTTCAGGCTCTGTGCTAGGCCTTGAGGTCACCGAGGGTGAGGCGATGGTGTCCCTCGTCTGAGGAATGTCTGTTTATTCAATACAGATCCCAGGATTATAAAGGCTCAGGAAGGGGAGGGCACGAGAGTGCCTTCTGGCAGACCCCCCGCCCCCCATCCCTACCCCATCCACCTACCCCTCCACCCACCCCCTACCCTGCCCACCCAGTCCACCAAAGACACTGTCGTTGGCTATAAGGCACGTCTATCTCCCTTGATCTTCTGGTCATATCATAAGTCATGTTCCACGTGTTTTCCCCTTGACCTTCTAGCCATGCTGGAGGTCAAACACGACAGGCAGGCCAGGGAGCTGTGCCTCATCAGGCCATGGGGAGGGAAGCTCTGAGCCACCTCACTAGGTAGCAGGTGACTGCCCACAGCACAGCACTGAGATGGCACGTGAGACACTCTTAGGGTTTTTTTTTCCCCTAGTCTCAACACAGCACACAACAGTTGTGTGGCCAGATGTGTGTGGCATTTTTCCTGCACACCAAGTGATTCTCCCACAGACACTGACTGGAATGTTCTGTGATTCATTTCACCCATGCTTGAGAGCTCAGACCCCTTCCACCAACACCCACTTCACATGCCAATTGCAAACCCCAGTTTGAAACCTGTATTTCTGACCAGAACAGCTTTAAATTGGGGGATCACATCACCTATCACCCTCCTCCTTGAGAAGGATGCATGCCATGTGGACCACTGAGTAGGGTGGAAAGGGTCAAGGAATAGGGAAAAGTGGATGAAACCATTGTTTTCAAGATTTTTTTCTTCTTCCTGTATCTGGGGAAAGGAAGGAGAGAAGCCACACCCAGTCTGCTAACCGCATCAGTATCTGGGGATGGGGGATAGCCACCCCCTATGTCATCCCAGGGTCCCCAGTGTGGAGTGTGCTCCAAGGGTACTCCTTAGGTGATTTCCATAGTTCTGAGATGCTGTTGATTTCGTTGTTCCATGGATGAGGAAACTCCTCCCAAGGTCCATCGGCTGACAATAGTCCATCCCAGAGTCTCCATTCGGCCAGATACTTGCTGTCAATGCTTGGCTGAGGTAGTTCTCCAGTTTGTTCTGCCCTCCATCCTCTGCTATGGCTATGTCCTCTGCAGGCTACATTGGACTGCCATATCCTCCATGTGCATCTAGGCATAGCATCTAATGCTCTGTATTAGCCAGTCAGCCCAGATCTGACACATACACTCCATGGTCAGACCATAGATCCTACCATTCTCCCCATGGTTGGAGTTCTGAGTCTAGCAGCTCACTTGGAGGGGAGTCCCCAAAGAAACCTCATTTGAGTAACCCCAGACCTTACTCTTGCATGTGCTAGCCAATACAGGGTCTGGCTCTGTCTGTTACCATCACCCACATCAACCTACACAGACACTGGTATTTGCAGTTGCTGGGCCACTTCTATTTCCAGCCTCATGTCTCATGTAAACCAATGGATGCTGTGGCCAAGCCAATTCCTACCCACCACACACTCAACCCTCACATACACCAGTGGGAACTTCAACCCAGTTTGCTTAACCCCCAAAACCCCCCACCAGCCCTGCCTCCAACCCTGGTTCCTGTGCCTGCCAATATATGCAGCAGACTGGTCCAGTCTATCTCGCATCCCATTCAACTCTTGTACATATCAATGGGCGTTGAAGCCTAGTTCAACCCAACTGACCCTAATACCCAGCCCACACTCTTGCCAGCAGCTGACACCACCTGTCTATTCAGGCCCACACTCAGCCCTGGTTCTCATGGTCGTCAGAAGGAGTTGCAGCCTTTCACAGAGGTGCTCACAGTTTCCCTACTCAGCCCACTCCCATGTAGGCCCGGGTCTCCCAAGGGTTAACTCCACAGCTTAGCTCGTTTCTCAAGGTGTAACAGGATGGGCAATCTTGGCCTGATACATTTAGCCCCTGGCTTGACCGCAAGTTCCCTCTTCCTCACTTCCCCTTTTTTAAGATGCCCTCGGAGGAGCTTAGGAGTTGCTTGAGCATTGGGATAATACTGGGAGGAACCAGGCAGACTAAAAGAGGCAGGTTAACCTCAAATAAATGGCATTGTCTTTACAAGAATGACCCACTGTGTGTTGTCTTTTTTTGTAACCCTAGTCCCTCCGCTGGGCTAGGGGTACATGGCAACGCGGGGCATTGCCAACACTCCCAGTCAGAGATATTGCACTCTCCAAGTGGTTCTGCATTCTAGTTTGACAGGACTTGCTCCCATTCCTGGGATGCAGCTGATGCTGCAGAAAAGCCTGACCAGCCCTCTTTACTCTGGCTCATGCATACACCAGTGGGTACAGTTAGCCAATCCTGGCTCACCCCCAACCCAGCTCACATGAAGGCCAACAGATCCCAGTGTGGTCTGTGCCCGGTCCCAGCTTGCAGGAGCACTGGCCCAGCAGGGGAGTCCTCGCTGCGCCCTACCAAGCTCATCATTCCACCCTCCCCACCCCGGTCTTATCTGTGTTGTTGGGAGCTGCAGTACAGTTTAGTATCTCCTGGCTCACCTTGGTGTTTGCCAGCTGATGCTGTATCCAGGCCAGGGCCGATCTGCCCCCAGTTCCAGTTCATGATGGTGCATGCCACTGCCTAGCCCAGCCCCCAGTCCCAGCCCTAATGTAAAAAGCTAGTGTTGTAGCCCATCCTAGTTTGTTCTGCACCCTGTCCTGGTTCTCATATCTGCCAGTAGATGTTCTAAAGTTGTCCAGCCTTGCCTGCCCCGAGACATGATAAGCTGATGGGTACTGTAACCTGGCCTGGTCTGAGATGCTCCTTGCCTTGGTTCTTGCGCTCATTTGTGAGAAATGCATTCTGACACAGGAGGTTCCCAAGCTCCTGTATCAAACCTCCTCCCAGTGTCAGATCTCACACACACCAGTAGATCCTTGGTCCAGCTTGATTTGATCCACCTCCTGTCCTAGCAGGAACAATGGCTTTTCCTGACAAGCCCACACCATTCTGGTTCTTGCTGTTGGCTGTTACAGCCCAGCCACACCTGCTCCATGCCCAGACACAGCTCTAGTGTGATTCAGAGGGTGCCAAGACCTAGCCCAGCCCATCCTGCACCCATCCTGGCCCTCACAAGCACCAGTTGGTGCTGGAGTCTAGCCCATTCTGCCCAACCCTAGTCCCTATCCACACTCATGCCTAGGGATGCTGCAGTCATGTCCAGCCCAGATTGCTGCCCTCATTCTGGCTCTTGTGTTCACCAGTGAGTGCTGGAGTCCAGCTCCAGCTGAGTTCGGAACTCGAGAAGAGTGTGTGGATGAGGTGCAAAGAGAGACGAAATGGACCACTCCGATTTCATGATCATAATGGACAATACAAGAAAGCTGTCTGCTTTATTTATACAGAAGCAGTCAAACTGTGGCTCAGACATTTTACATCATAGTCAAGTGGGTGTTTCTAAGGATAATTCTGCCATTTGTTTCACCTTAAAGCAACTTCTGCAACGTAGTCTTAAATCAGTTAAGGGAGGAAAGGCATCACAGAAGGAAGGACCTAAAGATCAAAGAAAGAGGGAAAGAATAGATTCCCACTACACCTGGGGACATAACACCCTTGATTAGCATATGGTCAATAGGGGCAAAGGAGACAGCAATAATAAAAGGCCCTTTGGCTAAAACGGTATCAGCAACATCAACTTCCAAGCTCATATTGGTAATAAACAAACTCCACAGAGGCAGACAATGCCTAAACAGATTACAGAATTCTCAGCGGGATTGTCTGGTGTCCATGCAAAGGGAGGTGGAGCTGTATTCAGGTGGCTGTAGAGACATCCTCAGGACCCTGCCATGCAGCGGGAAATTCCTTGTGGCCCTGCCTGCAATGGAACGATACTCTTCACACCTTCCTGCCTTCCACACCCATCACACAGACCCCAGCAAGTGAGAACCACAACCCAGCTGGGGCATCTCCTTAGCTCCCCAACTAGGCCTGTTCCAGCCACCCATATTGTACGTGCCAATGGTTGCTCTAACCCAGCTCGGCATAACCCACCTCTCATCTTGGCCTTTGCCATCAGGTACTGCAGCCTGGTCTGGCCTAGCCCACACTGAGTCCCAACTCTCACTGGTGGGTACTGTAGCCTAGCTCTGCCCAGTCTGCCCCTATTGTCGGCTCATGCAAACCGGTAGATGTGATATCCTAGCCCAGCATGACTCACACTCCAGTCTGGCTCCTGCACATGTCAGTGTGCTGTTTTAGCCTGGCCCTATCCAGTCCACTCCCATCCCCAGAACCAACCCGCACACTTGACAACATGTAAAGCTTCATTGCCTGCCCTGATCAACACCCAGGCCTGAATCATGTTCTCACCAGCAGGAACTATGGCCCACTAGCTAAATTTTCCAAGGTCCTGTGCCAGGCCCACTCCCAGACCCAGATCTCACATGTGCCAGTGGGTGCTAGTGGCATAGTCTGCTCCCTATCACTGCCTTTGTATGAGCTGGTGGATGTTACAGCCCGCCCCACACCACACCGTATTCTTGGGTGCGCCTGCGGGTGCTGGAGCCTGTATCAGCCTGGTTTCTTCACAACCTCAATATCCATGAGTGTCAGAGGATTCCATGGTCATGTGTTAGCCCATCCCATCACTTTCTCCAGCTCTTGAACAAACCAGTGAGATTGCAGTTCCACAATGGTGAGCTCACATATCCGCCACAAAATCTGCCCCAGACCTGGTTCTCTGACGAGCTGGTTAGTGTCATGACTCAGCGTAATGTGACCCATCCCCTATTCCAACATTCACTGGCAGGTACTGTGCCAGACAGGCCCCCACCCCTAACTTTAGTGTGCCCCGTGGGTGGTGGTCGATGGTAGTCGATGCTAACTAGCCTAGCTCAGGTCTCTCATGGTGCAGGTGCATTGTTCTGACATACAAAGGTCCTCCAGCTTCCCTTCTCCAAACCACTTGGTCTCAGCCCTCTTGATTACGTGCAAATACAGTGGCCTTGTCGATGGAAGTTCCTCGTAAGTCATTCCTCACCTGTAACATACTGCCTCAGTGGTCCTTTTTTCCACACATCCCCTTAATCCTCTTCCCTGAGCCATCCATAGTCTCTGCACCTGGGAGTGCATGGGTTCCCCAGCCCAATCTTCCATGCTTGTTGGCCTGGGACTCTAGCCCACTGCCGACCTGTCGCTGTCCCACAGCGATGGACTTGGTGCACGGAGCCAATAACAAGCGTGAACTCTGACTGATGGTCAAAAGCCAACGTTTATTAGTGGCATCAGACTTTACACACGGAGGATCATATAGGATAAGGGAGGAGGTATTGAGCTTATCAACAAACCCATCAACTGTTTCTATGCTTTTGTTTGGAACTCCTTTGTTTTGTATATTCTACCAAGTGTTCTCATTCACATGCTATCCACTCAACTGTTCTCATACAAATTATATCCAATCAGTTATACAAAAGGTATCCATTCGGTTGTTCTCATACAAATATTATACAATCAATTGTAATCCTGTGCTCCCTGATCTTCTAGGGTCACAGTGTCCTCCTACACTGACCCAAGATCCAAGCACATTCGAAGTTCCCCAAGCCCAGTTCACTATCACATCGTACCAGCATGTTTGCCTAGGGCTCTCAGGTCCCATTTCCCCACCCGACTCAGGACCAAGCCTGTGGGGAAATCTCCAGGCTCACTCCTCTCTGAGCCTGCACTAGCACAAGGCAGGCACCCACAGAAACACCTTTAAAGTTGTTACTTATTCTTTAAAAGGCAGAGATAGAAACAGATTTTCTATCTGCAATTGTAAGTTCATTCACCAAACACCCAAAATAGCCAGTGCTGAGCCAGGCTGAACCCAAGAAGCCAGGAGCCATTCAATCCAGTTCTATGTGGGGTAACGGCCCAATAACCAGAATCATCACCTACTGCCTCCTAGGGTGTGCATTAATATTAAGTTGGAATCAGAAACAGAACCAGAGGTGATGGCCTGGTGGCTAAATCCTTGCCTTGCATGCGCTGGGATCCCATATGGATGCTAGTTCATGGCCCGGCTGTTCCACTTCCCATCCAGCTCCCTGCTTGTGGCCTGGGAAAGCAGTCAAAGATGCCCAAAGCCTTGGGACCCTGCACCCACGGGGGAGACCCGGAAGAAGCATCTGGTTCCTGTCCTCAGATAAGCTCAGCTCCAACCTCTGTGGTTACTTGGGGAGTGAATCATCAGATGGAAGAGCTTCCTGTCTCTCCTTCTCTCTTTATATCTGACTTTCCAAAAAAAAAAAAAAATAAATCTTAAAAAAAAAAAAGTACTTGGTGGTAGACCATATAGTTAGAGGTAGACATGAGTCTAAAGCACATTTAGAATACCCAGAAAGTTCTGGCAAGGAAGAAAACTTATCCAGAGGTCGAACTACTACAATTTAAAAATGTTGAGAGCAGTGCTGGGATGTATCTCTTAGTCTAGCCTTATTCCACTGTAGAAGGAATACACAGCCTGGTGTGCCAGCTATAGTCTTGGTTTATGTCTGCCATTCCGGAATTTTATCCAATGCAGCATGTGTCAATTTTTTTTTTCATTTTCTAACAGCTTTATGAAAATAAGCAGGATGGGTCTGTGGTCCACTACTTTTTAATTCCAGCCTCTGCTTTCCTGCTATCTACTGGTTTGTGAGTTGCACTTACCAAAAACCAAACCAAACCAAACAAACAAACAAATACCAAAAGTTCTCACATTAATGCAGGATTTTACCACCTCTCCCTTTTCTAAACCTTTCCTAAATACAATGTAGCTAATGCCTTCCTCTCAAGGACAGCATGCAAGACAACTGCAGATGAAGCAGATCAAGTTTTGATCACCATTGTGTTCCCTGCCGAATATGTGCTGTACCAGCCAGTTGTACCCATGTCAAAGCTGCAAGATGTAAGAAGCTACCATGTACATAGCATTTATTCAGGAAGTAAAGGCACAGGCGTCCTGCCATGACCCTATGGTGAGTAGTTGGAGAGAGCTCTGGCATCGCAGATGTGTCACTCATTATACAGAGGAAATCCACTGTTCATTATTTTATTGTTGGCTTATAATTCTTGTAAAATACTTATTGATTTGTATCTGAAAGGCAAATTTCCAGAGACAAGGAGAGACAAAGGGACATCTTTAATTCATTGATTCACTCCCTAAATGGGTGCAATGGCCAGAGCTGAGCAGATCAAAAGTCAAGAGCCAGGAGCTTTTTCTGGATCTCTCAAGTGGTACAGGGTCCTAAGGCCTTAGGCCATCCTCCACTGCTTTTCCAGGCTGCTGATATGGAGCTAGCTGAGAAGTGAAGCAGCTGGGATTAGAACCAGAGTTCATATAAGATGCCGTGCTTAGAGGTGGAGGATTAGCTTGTTGCGCCATGGCGTTGGCCCTGGCTAGTGCATTTTTTAAATAGCAATAAACTCGGTGAGCATATGAGTTAAAAAGGCTAAAGTGGATAATTTGTGAAGAGTTAAATATTGCATTTGTTTTCTGGAAAGCTGATGATGAAAGTGGAATATGCATACAATATCTGTCACCATTTTTCATTTGCTCACAGGGACATCGATGTCACTGAAAACAAAAATCAAAATATATAAACCTGCCAAATAAAACACCAGCATTCACCTTGAAAGTTTGTACTTCAATATCTTTTTACAGGATTTATTTAGTTTTATCTGAGAGGCCGACTTATATAGAAAGAGAGACACATGGAGAGAGCACTTCCCTTCACTGGTTCACTCCCCAAATGGCCACAGTGAAACTTGAATCAGTGAGCCAATCTGAAGCCAGGAGCCTCTTCCTGGTCTCCCACTCGGTTGCAGGATCCCAAGGCTTTGGGCCGTTCTCCACTGCTTTCCCAGACCACAAGCAGGGAGCTGGATGGGAAGTGGAGCAGCTGGGATGCTGGCACATTCAAGGCGAGGACTTTTAGCTGCTACGCTATTGTCCCAGGCCCTCAAAATAAATAAATGTTTAAAGAAAAAAAAAAAAAGAAGAAGAAGAGGGCAGCTGGACTCCCCTCATTTTTGATTCACCTGCTTTCTGTGGAAAATCTTTAGTTCCTTGGTTAGTCACCTTGGTCTATTTTTTGTATGGCTTTTTTTTTTTTTTTTTTTTGTCGCATGACATCCTTTCCTGCTTTTGTTTCTGCTAACCATCTCTCCTCCTGGGCTGTTCCTTCACCTCTCGCCCCCCTTTAGCAGGGATGCCCCCTTGGGCATCCTGGCACAGAGCAGAGCTTATGCCAGTTGACTGTTGGCTGCATTGCGCTGTTTGGCCACTTCCACACTTCCTGGCACCTGAGCTTTTGCGATCTGCGGAATTTTCACAAGTAATATCTTAATATTTGAAAATAACCCATAAAACCTTAGGTCAAAGCTGCCACAGGTAGAATCATTTTGTAATCAGATTAGTACTTGAAAACAGACTTTTTTTTTTTACCCCCAGTTCCATATAGGAGATTGTGGGGACATAAAGATCAGTTAATAGCCAAAATTCCCATTTGCTCCTTGATCAGTGTCCTAAGTACGGAATGTCTGTTTGTCTCTCTGTCTCTCTCTCCCTGTCTCTCTCACACACATATCCATTGTTTAAATCCCCCGAATGATCCTGCTGATATACTGTCAATATTCTCATTTTACTGAGGTCAAAAGAGGCTTGGAGTCTGATTGACACAAGGCTACTCAGCACTTCAGTGTCCCTTTCAGATTTCTAGCTTGATCCGGCTGACTTTAACGCCCTAAGTCAAGCATTAAAAGCAGTTTAGGGTGGTGTCGTTGCTGCCGTTCATGTAAATGAGCCCGAGAGAGTCGGGAAAATGGAAGCCACAATGCGGTGCCAGGTCTCGGGAGGGGGACGTGTGGTGCAGGCAACCACGTGGTGACTGCAACCTGAAGAGCTGACGCCCAGTTTAGAACCGGGGGGGAGGGGGAGGGGGGGAGGCAACCAGGCCCTCCCCCCGCGTCGGAGGCGGGTTTGGGAATTTGGGAGCCCTGTGAATGGGAGACTGAGGCCAGGGCGGAGAGACTGCGGAGGCGGAGTCTCCGTTCCTGCCGGAATAAAATTCCCACGGCCGCCTCCAGCGCGTGCAATCCCGTACCCCCGAGCGGACGCAGGGCGGCGGCGAGCGCGCGGGCGGCGCTGACGGAGGCGGGCCGAGGGCGGGGCTTGCGTGTGGCTTCGGAAGGCTGCCTGCGGCTGTCGGTGCAGCGACCCTCTCGGCTTTCCCGCGCCACCTCCTCCTGCGCCTCCTCCTCCTCCTCGCCTGCGCCGCCGGCTTCCTCCTCCTCCTCCTCTCAGCGCCTCCAGTCAGCTCACTCGCCGGCCGGCTCCGTGATGGCGACTCGCAGTCCCAGCGTGGTGGTGAGTGTCGCTTGGCTCGTTAGTCCCCCTGGGGCCTGGCCCACGCGGCCGGCCGTCGGGCAGCGGTGGCGGCGCCTGGGCCCTGGAGGCGGCGGGGCCCGGGGTGCGCGCTGGGGCCAGGGAGGCTGGGGGGAAGGCGGTGGGGATCGGGGGAGCTCACAGGTTTCTCGGTTGGATTTTGAGGTCGCCCGAGGGCGGTGAGGAGGAAGCAATGGCGGGATTCGGGGTGGGTCCCTCGTGGGGGGAGAGCTCCTGTGAAAGAGGGCTGCGTGGGGGAAGAGAAGGTGGAAATGGCGTTGTGGTTGACATGTGCCCGCCGGCGAGCGTGCTGCGGGGAGGGGCCGATCGGGGCCGTGATCGCGCCGCTTGAGGGCGTGGGAGCTCCCCCTAAGGGGTCCCCGTCTGGAAGTTTGACGCTGCTGCGGAGGCACCTAGGTCACTCAGGGTAAAAGGGCCTCGGCACGGGAAACGACCGCTTATGCTGGCACGTGGGCTTTGCGTTGACTTCTGCAGGTGCAATAATTCATACTTGGGGGACTGCGCAGTAGCCTCTTCAATCCTCACCACAGCTCCCACAGTGGCAACCATGCCTGTTTCCACCCACGAAGGAACTGCTGAGAAGGCAGGTCGTTTTCCCTGGGCCCGAAGTAGCTGGGCCTTGAATCTAGATAAGCTTTGTATCCTTATTCCCCTTCTCAGAGGTTGCAGGGAGAGGCTGGTGCTTTACCTTCAAGGTCGTTCTTGCCTCCCGCAGCCTTGGAATCTTATCTCCACCCTCATTGGTTCTGTTCATTGGAGCTAGGCGAGCTACTGTTGCTCCTCCCCAACCCTTCAGATCAAGGCTTGCTAAAATAGCCCGCCCCTGGTAGATAAATGCCTTAGGCTGCTTTATTATGATGTTTGTTTTAGCGTTCACCTCATTACCTATTGATGGCTTCTCCCAGGAAAGCCTTCTTAGGGCTAGAGTCACCAGGGTAACTCCAGACCACAGCAAATATCTGGCTTGTGAGGAAGTTTTCAATGTGGTTTGTTGAATGAATAAATAGTGAACCTATTGCAGAAGGAAGGGATTGCATTTTGTGCTAGGAATTGTAGCTTAAGGTGAAAATCAGTGTTCTCAGTGCAGTGGGGTCTGTGAGCTCTGTGGCCCTGGGCGCTTGGCTTCATGCTCCAATTTTCTTATGGACTGGGGTGCTGGCTGCTTTTTGGCCTGTTAGTTAAGTTGGGGTTATGAAACAGTTTTTGAGAATAAACAACCCTTGCCCCCGTCCCTTCCTGGGAATAGTCACTGTGTTTACCTGCGCCGTCCTAATTAGTCTTCAAAACAACTCCAACAGTGATCCGATTATTAGCATTTTATAGATGAGGACTGTTGGAGGCTTCCGAAAGATTGCAGACATATGCTAGGTCATTCAGTAAGAAAAGATCTCTGACTCATGCCTGGGTCTCTGTCTAGAGCCTATCCGTTCAAATGGTTTACTGAAAATGAGCACTCAGACGCTAATGGCTGCTGTTTTCATTCCGTTGCTGAGGAAGCTGGATAGATGCTTTTAGCTTTGGGATATGATGACTGTCTCATTATACGATGAATTAGTTAATACTGCTAGTACAGGCAGTCAGTTTTGTTTCCACATCAAGATATTATGATTTTCACTAGCAAATTCCCATTCCTTTAAAGCAATTTTCTTCTCCCTAAATGCTGGCAATAAATAGCACTTCAAAGGTGCTTGCTCTGAGCTAATTAAGCTCTTCACATACATTAATTGACTAGATCTGTATGTAGCTCAAAGAGGTTCAGTAAATTGCTCACCATCACTGCACGATGAATGATAGGATTTGGACCTAAGGCGTCCTCCCCAGATTCTGTGTTGAACTTCTAAACATTTAAATTAGCAGTGGCAGTAGTAGATATTTATCAACACTTCCCATGTCTTAGCCGTTGAAGTAAATATTTTGTAGAGATTATCTAATGTAAATACCCTGAAGTTGCTTAACAGGTCCCTGCATTGGGTAAACACTAGCATGACCTTGGAGACACAGTTAGGTGAAGTAATTTGAACTTGCCCACAATCACATACATGAAATTGGCCCCTAGATCTATCAGGTAACTGCAGTTTAAACTGCCAGAGTAAACATTGACTCATTTGAACTAAAAAACCTATGGATTTTTACAGTTAATGCGAAACATCAGGTAGCTTTGATATGGATATATCTTCTGGAGTTCCAGTTGATAGTGCTGGATATATAAATTTTTACAGAATTGATGCAGTTATGCATTTTTGGGTCCACAGCTATATCATTAATGCCTGAGTGGTTTAAACTGACAGTCTATAAGTACAGACCTAAATTATGTTGTGTAATCTTTAAGACCCATCTTAATTGTTTCCTGACCATTGTTTGTTTCTGCATATTGCGTAAAGTAGGAAAAGGACCAGCAGGCAAGAGGTATCTTGGAGTTTTCTATTCGTTTTCTGGAGTTCATTAGGTAACTGGGCCATGTTGTTACTTGTCCGAGTAATAAAGATGCTGAGCTATGCTAGTGCACTCTTCCCTCTTTGTGTAATTTTGTATTGTGTGGATTCAATAAAATTTATATGCTGGGGAAGTGTCAATCATAGCCATTAGCATCAGTATTGGCAATTCTTATTTTCCTCCCAGTGGCTACCAAATTAACATTTACAGTAATAGTTTATGACTAGTAAGGATTCAAACAAAGCTATTCAGTAGTATGCTGCTGATAATTTACACATACTTTTTTTTTTTTGTCAAGAGTAAGCATTCTTCCACTGTGCATGTTAATGAAGAGACAATTCTAGTATTGGATGAATTCACATCAGTTTCACATACAGTATTATGTGCCTGCTTGCCTGGAGAGCTGATAATTTTATCCCTGGCTTGAGTAGTTAATTATGCTTGTTTTCTGCACCATTCAGTGGCTGAATCCTCAACTTGAATGCACCAGGAGCGCATATGGGCACTGGTTCATGTCCCAGCGTCCCCACTTTCCACCCAGCTCCGTGCTTATGTCCTGGGAAAGCAGTAGAGGATGGCTTGCGCCCATGTGGGAGAACCAGAGGAAGCTGCCGGCTCTAGTCACTGCAGCCACCTGGGGAGTGAACCAGCAGATTCTTTCTCTCTGTCTCTGCTTCTCTCTGTAAATCTTTCAAATAAAAAGTAAATAAATCTAAAAAAAATGCTTATTTTAATTCTTTTACTAGCTTTGACCCTTAGAAAGGGAAGCAAGCAAGCTATATATGTAATTTACTTTTAAGATCAGTACCAAATAGGAAGAATAATATACTACTGATATATTTTCATATCTATGGGTATCTTTATCAGTAATTCATAATTTTGCTTTTATGACATCTTGAGTTAGCACAAATTATCCTAAATGTATGACATATCTGCTTTGTTGCTTTCTGTATCTGAATTGGAGATAAAAATATGCCACCTAGTGAGTTCTACCCATTCTCAAAGCTTGCAAATATTGATTACTAGGAATGAGATTAAATACCTTTTCCTAAAATTCTATTGTACATCATTAATTTACAGTTTTTTCATGACTCGCTTCCATTTAGTCTTGTTTAGACTGACAGAAATTGCCATTTTTTTTAAACCACAAAGAGTCTTAAGCAATCATAGTCACAGATGATGCATTGATGTTGCAAATGTTGTTTTAGCTCGGGTTAATTTCCTTACTGTAATTTTAGATAATATGCCTTTGCAATTAGAAATTATATGTGTCAAACACAAAGCTTTTCATGTATGAAAGCCATTATTACAGATGTGATACACATAATTATTCAGCATTTGCAAAGCCAGTTCTACTGGAAAGTGAAATGTCTGCAGTGATTCATTCGTGTGAAAGACACAGCTGTAGAGAAAGAGGGAAGGAGAGAGATCTTCCATCTGCTGGTTTACTTCCCAAATGGCTAGAACAGCTAGGGCTGAGCCAGGCTGAAGCCAGGAGGCTGGAGCCCCATCTGAATATCCCACATGGCTGGTGGGGCCAAGGCGCTTGGGCTATGGGGCTATGTTCCTCCGCCTTCCCAAACATGGTAGCAGGAAACTGGATCCGAAGACCGATATGGGATGCCAGCAGTGGCTGCCCCGCAGTATTGCTGCAACTTCAGTAATTCATGATAGCAAGGAGTTTGATTCTGTACAAAAGGTGGAGAAGTACCTGCGTACATTTTTCATTAGTAAGCATTTAAGGTTAGAATGAGATTTGTGTTCTAGAGCTCTGAGGAAATGCAGTCAGATTTCTTTATTCTGAGTAAATTTAAGTAACTCAGAGGTATTTTCAACTATTTGGGATGATATAAAACTAAAATTCCTATTTATTGAATTATATCGTGTTTATGTTATTTCTTACTAATGGCTGAGGTGTAAGTCCGGCTTCTTAGAGTTAGCATTCTTTCGTAACAGTGCCATAACATTTTATACCTGTATCTTTTTTATGACAGTTATATACTGTAAGCTCATTGAGGGGTAGCTCTGTCAGATTTATCTAATTCTCTAGTAATACAACATAGTATCTTCCAATAACTATTTGAGTAATAGTGAAAGAATATAGATTCTGAATGGGGCCCTTACCATTTTAAAGCTAGGATTCTAATATTTTTTATTACTTGCCCATTTATTTATTTTCATCTACTTTGAAAGAGGAATAGCTGTCTGCTTTTTCACTGTAATAGGCTTAAGTCAGACTGAAGCCAGAGGCCCAGGACTCCATCCATGCCTCCCATGCAGGTGTCGGGGACCAAATACTTGAACTACTTTCTGCTTACTCCTAGGTTGCATTAGCAACGAATGGGATTGGAAGTGGACTAACTAGAAATTGAGTCAGTACGCCGGTGTGGGATGTGGACATCCCAAGCAGGGCCCTAACTTGCTGTGACACACTTACCCCAATATTCCACTGTTTGATCATTAAATGTGAATTAGGAGGGCTTGACTTCTTTTTTTAAAGATTTATTCATTTTTATTACAAAGTCAGATATACAGAGAGGAGGAGAGAGAGGAAGATCTTCCGTCCGATGATCCACTCCCCAAGTGAGCGCAATGGCCGGTGCTGTGCCCCATAGCCAGGAGTCTTCCAGGTCTCCTACATGGGTGAAGGATCCCAAAGCATTGTGTCGGCCTTGACTGCTTTCCCAGGCCACAAGCAGGGAGCTGGAAGGGAAGCGGGGCCGCCGGGCGGGGCTGCCGGGATTAGAACCCGCGCCTATATGGGATCCCTGCGTGTTCAAGGCGAGGACTTTAGCCGCTAGGTCATGCCGCTGGGCCCGAGCGGCTTGACTTTTTGTTAAAATGTAAAATTCAGGAAAGTTGATGTTGGTGCCTTTTCTCCTTATTTGATTTTGGATTTTCAGCATTCATAATGTGTACTCAGTGCCCAGTTCTGACACTTATACATCCATAATTATTAATATATTTCTTAAATGAAGACCCAGATAAAATCTTCATTTGTATATAGTGAATTCATACCTAGAATAGTTAGAGTTGTAAAAATTTTTGAATTTTTGTTTTTGCTATTAACATGGTTTTTATGCTTCAAATAACAAACCATAAATCTCAAAACCCAAAATAAAATCTAAGGTTTGATTAAGACGACATACTTTCATGTTAAATATGATACATAAAACTGGTTCTGCTGAAAATCATTTGAACTGGATTTTAGTTGAGATGTAGACAGAACTAGAGTAAGAATTCGGATGGGTAAGTAGAGATGTACTCTAAAATAGAAATTCTAGCAAATTCCTGGAGTCTAGGATGAACGCTGGGCAGAACTGACACTGGCTTTAATGGAAACAAACAGGACTCTGAAGTCAGCGGCTGAGCCGCGCTGACACGTGGAGTCTTTGCAAGGGTGTGTTTCAGACTCCTGGGTGCGTCCTGGTTTGTGCTGGTGGCAGAAACAATGAGTAAGTGCATGGAAGGCGTGAGTAAGCTCTGGCGAAGTCATTCCTGGCACCCTTGATTTTAAAGGAGTATACGCTTTTGTTCTTATTAGGTGGTAGAAGATATGCTCTGGTGAGGCTAACATTTAATATTTACAGGTTCATGTTATAAGATACAGCAAGGTCTTCTTAGCCCCAAACTAGATTTCAGTTCATACAATTTGTAAAGGCAGCGCTGGATTGTTGCAAAGCATTCTGGAAACGCTCCTGTAGATGACACAGATGTTCCATTTCCTTGTTGTAGTAAATGTGTTCTGATACAAATGTGTAAGTCATGCTGGGTTTGGTCTGTTGCTGAGCGCTGCACAGTACCTGTGCTTAGTACCATCGGTGTGCAGGGCTGGTGTGCAGGGCTGGTGTGCAGGGCTGGTGTGCAGGGCTGGTGTGCAGGGCTGGTGTGCAGGGCTGGTGTGCAGACGCCGAGGGAGTGCGCAGCATATAAACCTTAGGTCTTTGAGCAATCGAAATGTCAAAACGTAACTGGATTCTATGAATAATATAAACCTTAAGTGTGTTTTGGGAAGTCAATGAAGCCACTTGTCCTGAAGCACCAATGTGCTGAGAGAAATGTTCAACAGGTATTAATATACCTGAAGGCTTAATTAATTTAAATGCCAAACTTTATATCATCAGTATTAGATATAATCTGATACGCAATATTATAATTCTCTCTAGTTTTAATACTTGAATAAACTTTGAATATAATGGTAAGTGGGAATTTTAAATTAATGAAACTGACATTGACAGTAAGGAAATACAGAAAGTAGCAAGTCCCTAATTCTTACCATTATTTGGCCTATTCATCCATACTCACCCACTTTCCCCTTTATCTTTTTTTTTGAGATGTGTTTATTTTTACTGGAAAAGCAGATATACAGAGAGGGGGAGAGACAGAGAGGAAGATCTTCCGTCCCATGATTCACTCCCCAAGTGGCCGATCTGAAGCCAGGAACCGGGAGCTCCTTCTGGGTCTCCCACACAGGTGCAGGGTCCCAAGGCTTTGGGCCATCCTCAACTGCTCTCCCGGGCCACAGGCAGGGAGCTGGATGGGAAGCGGGGCCGCTGGAATCCATATGGGATCCCTGCGCATTCAAGGTGAGGACTTTAGCCACTAGGCCACTGCGCCAGGCCTGATCAGTTAGCTTTTATTGGTGGATTTGGATAAAAGGATAGATTTAGATAAGGCATAGCAATTTTACTTGTTGATGTGTCCTGAAGTTTCAAGTATACTGAGGAGTGGAGAGAATAATGAAGTGAACTTCCATATATGCATAACCCTCATTTAAAATGTATGAAAATGTTGATATTTGTCTTATTTAAAGTTTGTCTCTTTCCCTTTTGGACCTAAGGGAAAATCTGTATCATGTCATTGGACTTATGGATTCTTGACTGTTCGTCTCTAGGGCATATGTTTTCTTACATAATTGTAATTCATATCTTCCTTCCCTTGGGTAGATTTAAAATTTGAAAGAAATGAAAGCCAATCAAATGTTTGTATGCTGTAACGCTCATATTGAAATAACTGTTTCTTTTTCAGATTAGTGATGATGAGCCAGGTTATGACCTAGATTTATTTTGCATACCTAATCATTATGCCGAGGACTTGGAGAGGGTGTTCATTCCTCATGGACTGATTATGGACAGGTTAGTAAGACCTTCAGTTGGAATTTTGTATTTTTTCTTGTGTTAATTTGCAGTGTTATCAGCTGTTTTCAGTAGTCGATATTTGAGCATTAACTAGGCTAAACTGTTAGATAAAAGGTGCCTTTTATTTTGAACTCTTTATTAAGAAAAGATGAGGTCCTTATTAATTACTCATTATGACTGAAGCTATAGTGGGATTCTACAGTGAGAAAGAAATCACTGAAGTGAGATTGGGGGTATGACTTTGAGTGCTTGGTCCTGAATCCGGTAATGGACTGGGACTGAGTCGCATGAAGGCAGTGTCAGATTTTACCTATTCCATAGATCTAGTTTGACAATTTCCTCTCAAATGAATTACCATGAAAACTCATGGTTGATATTTGAGTTTTTGCTTTTTGTATCTGTTTTTAATTTTAAAACTATAATGCCAGTATGTCTGTGTTGTAAAGCATTGTGGAAGTAGAATAGAGCTCTCCTGTCAGCTTCCGGCATGCGCTCCCTCCCTAGCTATCCGCTGTGCATATACTGTATGCACATGCGCACATAGGCATGTCTGGTCTGTTTTAGCACATGGCACATGTTAGCACGTAGTTGTAACTTTGTAAAAGAAGATTTATTTTTATTGAAAAGGCAGATTTACAGAGAGGGGAGACAGAGAGAAAGATCTTCGATCTGCTGGTTCATTCCCAACATGACCACAACAGTCATGACCGAGCTGATGTGAAGCCAGGAGCCAGGATTTGTTTTGGGTCTCCCACACGGGTGCAGGGTCCCAAGGCTCAGGGAGCTGGATGGGAAGTGGAGCTACCTGTACCCATGTGGGATGTAGGTGAAGGATTACCCAGTTCAGCCATCATGCCGGCCCCACATAGTTGTAACATTTTTACATCTAGAGCTATCAGAATTTCCATAGCATTTGATATTAACGATTTTATCATAGCTGGCTTGTACCTGCTCCTCTTTATTCATGTGGAAATTTTAGGTCAAAGGAAAAGTATTGAGTATTTTGGCATTGCCTATTTATCCTTCAGAAAGCTATCTCAGGTTTTTTAACACTTATATATTTCTATTGGAGAGGCAGATTAGCAGAGAAAAGATTCAGAAAGACCTTCCATCTGCTGGCTCACCCTCCAAGTGGCCACAATGGCTGGAGCTGAGCCGAGCCGACCTGAAGCCAAAATCCAGGAACTTCTTCCAGGTCTCCCTCGTGGTGCAGGGCCTCAAGGCTTTGGACCATCCTCTACTGCTTTCCCAGATCACAAGCAGGGAGCTGGATGGGAAGTGGAACAGCTGGGATACGAACCAGTGCCAATATGGGATTCCGGGCACATGCAAGGCAAGGATTTAGCCACTAGGCCACTGTGCTAGGCCCGCTATCATTTTCTAATCCCAGTAGTGCAGGGGAGTGTCCGTTTCCTCATGAAGTCTTCTAATGTTAGTTATTATCAGGCAGGTTTTTTTAAATTCAGAATTTGCCAATCTGAAAGTGAAAATTGTGTCCCAGTTTTATTTGCATTTTAAAAAATGTGTGATAGATGTTATGATATACCTGGCTTTTGAAGGCAACAAGCTTTTAACTTGATTTATAATGCCATGGCACACTTTATGGGCATAAAGGATGTGTTTTCTTGAACGTAAATGTTTATAAGATGTGTGTTAGAGAGTTTAATGTATGAAACTTCGTTTAATTATTGATTTTGTTTTTGTAGGACTGAAAGGCTTGCTCGAGATGTGATGAAAGAGATGGGAGGCCACCACATCGTCGCTCTCTGTGTGCTCAAGGGGGGCTATAAGTTCTTTGCGGATCTGCTGGATTACATTAAAGCGCTGAACAGAAATAGTGATAGATCCATTCCTATGACTGTAGACTTTATCAGACTGAAGAGCTACTACGTAAGTATATCTAATACATTTTTTGTAAGTGTGGATACCATAGTTTTTCTCTTTTTGTTTTATATATATTTGTGTTTATTTACTTGAAAGACAGTTACAGGGAGGGAGACAGTCACAAACATCTCCCATCCACTTGTTCACTCCCCAGATGGCTGCAGAATCCAGGGCTGCGCCATGCCAAGGCCAGAAGCCAGGGCTTCCAGCTGAGCCTCCCCCATGAGTGGCAGGGTCCCGAGCCCTTGAGCCATCTTCCACTGCTTTCCCAGACATGGTAGCAGGGAGCCAGATCTCAAATGGAGCAGCCCGGACTCCAACGTGTTCACAAGGTGTAAGCACTGCAGCCAGTGGCTTAACCTGCTGGGCCACAATGACAGCCCTTCCTGTATTTTCTTAGAAGTGCGGCAAGCTATACTTTCCTGTTTGACTTCATTACAGTGACTTCCCTTAAATGGAGGGCTTAAATAAGGTTTATTTATTTATTTTATTGGGAAAAGTCAGATATACAGAAAGGAGGAGAGACAGAGAAGAAGGTCTTCCAACCATTGATTCACTCCCCAAGCAACCACATTGGCCAGAGCTGAGCCAATCTGAAGCCAGGAACCTGGAGCCTCTTCCAGGTCTTCCACACATCAGGGTCCCAAGGCTTTGGGCTTCCTCGACTGCTTTCCCAGGCCACAAGCAGGGAGCTGGGTGGGAAGTGAAGCAGCTAGGACTCAAACTAGTGGCTTATCTTGCCGCATCACTGTACTGGCCCGCTATCCTTTAGAAATGGATATTTATCTTATTTGAAGATGGGAATAAATGTCCTTTCTTGGCTGTTTCATAAATCAGCATTGTAGTCTATCCTTGAATAACCTCACCTTTCTAAATAAGTTTTCGAGAGGCAGCACAGCACAGAGCATGCAGAGCTCTTGTCTGCGATGGCCGGCTCATGGTGCGGTCTCAGTAAGCAATTAAGGTCTTGCGTTCATGGCACCTAGCTGATTACTTGAACTGTCATAGTTTGTATTAGCAGGAAGCAAAAGTCAGGAGCTAGCTGGGTATTCAGATCTCAAGTGTGGGACATGAACTTTTTCTTAAAATGTTTTTTATTGGAAAAGCAGATCTACAGAGACAAGGGGAGACAGAGAAGAGCTTCTGTCTGCTGCTTCACTCCCCAATTGGCCACAGTGGCCAAAACTGAGCCAATCCAAAGCTGGGAGCTTCTTCCGGGTCTCCCACGCGGGTGCAGGGTCCCAAAGCTTTGGGCCGTCCTCGACTGCTTTCCCAGGCCACAGGCAGGGAGCTGGATGGGAAGTGGAGCTGCTGGGATTAGAACTGGTGCCCATATGGGATCCCAGTGCATAGTAGACTGCCTCGCCAGGCCCATGGACTTTATTTTTTTAAAGATTTATTTAATTTCCGTAGACAGGGAGATTTCGTAGGCAGAGAAAAGGAGAGAATGAAAAGCTTTTCTATCTGCTAGCTCACTGCCCAAATGGCTGAAACACCCAGAACTGAGCTGACGAGCAGGAGCTTCTCTTTGACCTCCCACACAGGTGCAGGGTCCCAAGGCTTTGGAGCCATCCTCTAGTGCTTTCCCAAGCCACAAGCAGGGAGCTAGCTGGGTGGGACACAACTGGCTCCTATATGGGACTCTGGCACTTAAAGGTGGAAGATTAGCTTCCTCCAGGTCTCCCACATAAATTAAAGGTCCCAAGGCTTTGGGCTGTCTTTTACTGCTTTCCCAGGCCACAAGCAGGGAGCTGGAAGGGAAGTAGCACAGTTGGGACCAGTGACCAAATGGGATGCTGGCGCCTCAGGCAGAAGCTTAGCGTAATGCCTTGCAAGTGTTGGCATCCCATACAGGTTTCATGTCCTGGCTTCTGCGCTTCCCTTCCAGCGCCCTCTTGTGGTCTAGGAAGACAGTGGTGGATGGATGGCCCAAAGCCCTGTGACCCTGCACCTGCTTCTGGCTCCTGGCTTGGGATCTGCTCAGCTCCAGCTGTTGCACACATCTGGGGAATGAACCAGCAAATGGAGGATCTCTCCTCTCTGTAGATTTGTTCTGCTTTTCTGATACAAATAAATCTTAAGAAGAAAATACCCAAATCTACTGTTCTCTGGGAGGCTGGATAGGAAGCAGAGCAGCAAGGGTTTGATGCAGGCACTCTTTTTAGATTTTATTTTTTATTCTGGTTTTATTATTGCTTACATGGTTGAGAGAGCATAGCCATGTGGGCCTCTGACTTGGGGCAGAGGAGGGTGAACAGTACAAATGCCTCGGCTGTTTTCTCTGGAAGCAGGCACTCGGATAAGGGGTGCTGCTGGTCCAACAGATGACCTAACCACTCAGCCAAATGCCTGCCTCTCTACGTTTAGATTTTTGGTTTTTATTTATGTATTTTCTTTTAGCTATGAGAAGGTTATTAAATTGAATTCCTTGAATGGTGATAAAAAGCCTGAAATAGCAAACATAAAGAATGATTTGTTAATTTTCTTCTTTTAAAGGTTTATTTAGTTTTATGGAAAAGCTGATCTGATTTACAGAGAAGGAGAGACAGAAATATCTTCCATCCGCAGGTTCACTGCCTAGATGTGTGCGGCAGCTGAAGTTGGGTCATTTCCAAGCCAGGGGCTTCTTTCAGGTCTCCCACACTGCCTTCGCAGGAGAAGCAGAGGAGTCCCAACAGGCTCCTGAGATGCTGCGCTGATCCGAAGCCAGGAACTTCCTTCAGGTCTCCCACGCGGGTGCAGGGTCCCAAGGCTTTAGTCTGTCCCCGGCTGCTTTCCCAGGCTATAAGCAGGGAGCTAGATGGGAAGCAGTTTGGCTGGTATTAGAATCAGAGCCCATAGGGGATCCTGGTGCTTGCAAGGCGAGGACTTCAGCCATTAGGCTATTGCACTAGGCCACCGCACCAGGTCCCAAAGCAGAATTTTTTTTTTAAGATTTGTTTTAATTGGAAAGGCAGATTTGGAGAAACAGAAATAGACAGGTCTTCCATCAGATGGCTCACTGAACAAATGGCCACAGTGGCCAGAGCAGAGCTGATCTGAAGCCAGGAGCCTCTTCTGGGTGTCTCACATGGGTGCAGAATAGGAAGCTGGATGGAAGTGGAGCAGGCAGGACACCAGCTGGTGCCCCTATGCGATCCCAACAGATGCAAGGTGAGGATTTAGGCATTAGGCTATTGTGCTAGGCCCCAGTATTTTTTTTTTTAAGATTTATTTATTTTTGGAAAGTCAGATATACAGAAAGAAGGCGAGACAGAGAGGAAGACTTTGCATCTACTGGTGTTCACTCCCCAAGTGGCCACAATGGCCAGAGCTGAGCCAATCTGAAGCCAGGAGCCAGGAGTTTCTTCCGGTTCTTCCACGTGGGTGCAGGGTCCCAAGGCTTTGCCCCGTCCTCGACTGCTTTCCCAGGCCATAAGCAGGGAGCTGCATGGGAAGCCGGGCCAACGGGATATGAACTGGTGCCCATATGGGATCCCAGTACTTGCAAGGTGAGGATTAGCTGCTTGAGCCATCATGCCACATCCCCAAGAGAGCAGGTTTTAAGTATTAGTGCTTACTCTTCAGTCTTCTCTAGTTATCCTTGATATATTTAGAGTACTGCTCTGCAAACAGAATTTGCTGATGTGATGGAAGTGCTGTCCATCTATGTTGTCTGTTACGGAGCCACTAGCCACGTGTGGCTGCTAATCTCTGGAAATAAGTCTTATGAAAATTGAATGTGGCTGGTGGTACTGTGCTTGCCAGCACAGGCAGTGTGAGATCATCCTGAAGGGCCTTGCTTCATCAGCACAATGTTTCAAGCTGCTAGTCTTTTTGTAGTAAAGTGAGGTTGTTTCAAAGAACTCATAAAATACAAGTAAATAATTTTAACCTGGGTATATATCTTTCCAGACTTATTTTTACTGCACTTACATTTTATAAAATGCGGTGTCTGCTGCTTTTCTCTGGGGTCTTTAGTGTGGTCTGAAAAGGATGTTTGTGTGTGGTAGACTTGGCCTGGCTGGATAGCTAGAGAACATTTCCCGATGATAAAACTCCAAGAGGATGCTGAAAAAAAAAATGATTTATAAGTTCTGGAAGTAAGTTTTATTTATTTTATTTGAAAGGCAATTTAGAGAGAGAAGGAAGACAAAGTGCTCTCCCATCTGCTGGTTCACTCCCCAGTTGGTTGCAGTAGCCGGGACTGAGCTGATCTGAAGCCAGGAGCCTCTTTTGGGTCTTCCACACCAGTGCAGGGTCCAAAGGCCTTGAGCCACCCTCTGCTGCTTTCCCAGGCCAAAGGAAGAGAGCTGGATCAGAAGTGGAGCAGCTGGGATATGAACTTGATACCCATGTGGGATGCTGGTGCTTGCAGTTGGAGGATTAGCCAGTGAGCCATCACACCAGCCCCTGGGAATTTTCTGTAGTTGATGGTGGCACTTAAGAGCCAAGGCCGAAGCACGGGTTGGGTTCTCTTGACGGCTGAGAGCAGCGGAGGAGAATGGGACAATAAGAGGGGCTCTTCCCTCATGCCAGCCCCGTTACCCGAGACTTTACCCTCATGAGCTATTTGAGAAGCAGTCCATGTAAAGGGACACAATGGGAAGGGAGTCGGGGAGATTCCTGAGGTTTCTTTGGCTGTGAAAGTGAGATCAGTGGCACACGGATGCCTTTGTGTGTGGTTGGGGCACTCACAGCTGTGCTGCAGCACAGTGGCCATGGACCACTGCTCTTGCCTGAATCCTCATTAGCTTCTACTTAAAAGGTGACTGTTTCCATGAAAAAGGCTTCAGAAAACACTGAAAAACTGCAGGGATGTTAGCAAAACAGCAGTATCTTTTTATGCTTCAAGTTCTCCTGTCTCTTATCACCATAGCTTTTGGATTATAAAGGAGTTTTTCTATGCCTCCACACTGTTCAGTTCTCAAATATTTACTCTTCTTTCCCCCTAAAAAAACCAATTATTTGGAGCTGGAGTGTAATACCAGGTTTCTACACAAGATGTCACTATTTAGCCACTTAACATGATTGACTCTTAAAGCTTCTGGTTTTGTGCCGCGTTTCCCCCACTTCCCTGTTAATCCTATGTGTTTGAAAGGAAGCTTCCCTAAGAAATAATATGCAAAGGTTTTTTTATAAGTCTTAGGTTAGTTTGCAGCACCAAATCGTATTGGCCTATTGGTGTCTTTCAAAAATAACACTCCATGAAAGATTGATGTTTATTATAGATGTAAAGGAAGATCATGTTCTTAAAATTACATCTACAAATTATATTCAACCTGGTAGAAACTAGCTGAAAAATTTAAAAATCTTAAGCAATTTGTATAAAAGTAAAGTCTTATCCCTGTTCTCACTACTTAGAGCTAATTGTTGTAAAAAATTTTTTAGTTCTGAATTAAAATAGGCAGCACATTGTTCCACTACTTTTAGCATTGTTTAAAGTCCATTGTGTATTGGATTACCGAATTGTTTTCAGTAACTTCATGTTATAGTATTATGTAGATGGACTTAATGTAACTAATTCCCTGTTAATGGATAGATAATACTTTGTGTGAAGAACAATCAATGTACTGAACGTCCTTGAACAGACCTTTGCATATTTGTGATAATTTTGGTAACATCAATTCTAGGAGGTGGAATTACTGGGTCATCTTTCCAATTTTAATAGTTAGTGCTCTGTCATCTTCAAGACAGATCATACTGATTTTGCCAGGGTAGAAGGGTGAATGGTAGATTTGCATCATTTTAGTGTTTGTTTCTCAGCTAGGTATCTTTTTTTTTTCCAATTTATTTCAAAGATAGAGTTCATAGACAGGGAGAGTCGGAGATCCTCCATCTGCTGTTCACTGCCCAGATGGCCACACAGGCTAAGGCTGGGCCAGACTGCAGCCAGATGTTGAGAGCTTTTGGGACTCCTACCTGAGTGCCAGGACCCGGGAACCTGGGCCTTCCTCTGCTGCTTTCCCAAGTGGGGCGGCCAGGACTAGAACCAGTGCCAGTATGGAATGCTGGCGTTGCAGACAGCAACTTTGGTGCATACCATTTTATACCTTTATGACCGTCTCCTATATCAATTATTTATTTGTTTGTGTCCTCCAGCTTCCCAAATGGTACTATTGTTGGACCCAAGGTATAATAGGAATATTTGTTACTGATCTTTTTGGTTTAGACTCATGTTGAGCCTAGGTTTGTATCCCTTCTAAGCATATGAAAAAAAGTTCTCCACTTTGTTCCAGTCTGCTTATGGCTTTGTTTTTTTACATTTAGATTTTAATCCATCTGGGATTTGTATATGTATATACTTTGAGGTAGGGACCATACTTTATGTTTTTCCTAAATGGATAGCTAGTTGACCAAACCCCCTTTGTTGAGCAATTCATCTTTTCCTTACTGACTCAAAATGCCATCCTTTTCATATACTAAATCATCATCTATTTCCGAGTCTGTTTCTGGGCTCCACTTTGCTGCTTAATCCCCTTGTCGATCATTGTGCTGGCATGACACTGTTCTCATTGTTGCAGCTTTATGGTGTGTTTTCCTCTCCTTGACAGGGCAAGTCTGAATCCTTTGGCTCACCTGCCCTTTCACCCTGGTTCTGCCTTGAGTCCAGCACAAGCAAAATTCTAGCCATTCTTATCACCAACTCCGGTGGATATTGCACATAATGCATTGAAATTCTTGTAAGGGTTTCTACTGGATTCTGTAAGAACAGAAAAGTGGGAGGGAACCAAGGAGATGTGCCTAAATGGACTACTGATGAGACAAGGCTGAGGATGACTTGGGCCCGGATTTTGAGGGGATGTGTCCTTGAGGCTGAGTGTGGTGGAGACCAGCCCCTACAACCTGCTTGACTCATGTGACTGGTACGGTGCCAGAATCAGACATCTGTCACCTAATGCCTTCCTTCATGGTTTTGGAAGTGACTGGGAGCACAGATGAGTGGCTGCTAGAATCCTGCCCACTCCAAAATGCATGTACTTTATTTTTAGGACATCAAATCAGTAATGGCTAATTAGGATGTTTTACTAATCTCTACTGGAAAATTACATAGTCTTTCATTTCTGGAAACAATTTTATAATTCATATCATTTAGAATGTCATAATGCTGTGAACATTAGATGGCTAACTTAAATCTTCTAATTCCCATGTGATGATTTGAGGTATGTGTGTGCATAATACATATGTTTATATGTGTGTGTGTGTTTTTAACTAGAATGACCAGTCAACGGGGGACATAAAAGTAATCGGTGGAGACGATCTCTCAACCTTAACTGGAAAGGTATGTATGTATCTTGAACCAGAAGAGCAGTAACACTGCTTTCAATCACTCATGAAGAGGCAGCTTATGTAATGTAGCCACAGATGTTATTTAAACCTTTTGAAGCAATGGTAAATTATCCTTTCTTATATCATATAATGAAAAGTGCAGAATCCGACATTAAATTCATATGGCCAAGGGCAGATGTTTGTCTCTGTGGGAGCCTAATTTGACATCGTTCAAAAAATATAGATGGAGGCAAAATAGGCTTCTTTTAAAAAGTTAAAAAAAAGACTCATACCTAGTTTCTTCAATCATAGAGAAGTAGTGTCGCTGAAAGTGAGTTCTGGAAGCTGACGGCTTACATTCAAAGCCTGCCTCAACAACTTTAAATCTGGGACCTCAGTCGGGTTAGGAAACGTCTTTGTGGTTTTTATGCCAAAAGAGTGTGGGTCACTCTAGCTACCTCATAGAGTTAAAAGGATTAACTGATACAATGCCTGTGGAGCTCTCTCTCTTTAAAGCATTTATGTATGTATGTATCTGAAAGGCAGAATGAAACAGAGGGTGAGACAAAGATCCTTGATGTGCTGAATTGCCCCCGGGTGGCCACAACAGCTTTGTCTGATCCAGGCCTGCCCACATGCCCAACTCCATGGGCCAGCTTCTGCTGCTTTCCCAGGCCACACACAAGGAGCTGGAAGGGAAGGGGAGCAGCTGATATGCAAACTGGCACCCATACGAAAGCCTGGCTCATGCAAAGGGGAGCATTTCACCGGGTCTCGTGCTGTGCCCCTGTTTTCTTTTTGTTTTGTTTTATTTTAAATTCAGAGTTACAGAGATAACAAATGGTAATCAATATTCCATGTGCTGGTTCACTCCCCAAATTTCTGCAATGTCTTGAGCTGGGCCAGGCTGAAGCCAAGAGCAAGGGCTCCATCTGGGTCTCCCTTGCGGGTGGTGGGGGCCCGTGTACTTGGGCGATCTACTGCCTCCCAGGCACATTAGCTGGGAGCTAGACCTGAAGCTGAGTAGCAGGGACTTGAGCTGGCTTTGTAGGTAGATGCTTAACTTGCAGTGCCACAATGCTGAATTCCTGTATCTAAGTATTTTTATTCCCCCCCCCCCTTTGAAACCTGAATGAGTTTAAATTTCTAATCTGCCCTGTTCTTGTTTTTATGACTTTAAGCAAGTCATTTGACCTCTGAACTTGATTTTTTTTATTTACATAGGGATTTAGCTACTACACACACAATAAACTCTCAGCAATGGTAGTAATTTTCATTGTTTTATTTCTTATAGCATTGGTGTTAAATTCTAGATAGCACAGGGTTATATTAGACAAGTATGTTCTCTCTCTCTGGACTTTGATTTATATGGACCATTTTCTGCTAGTAGCTTATAGCTTAATGAATGTTGTACAGCTTAGAGCAGAGACTAAAATTTGTTTTCTCTGTTTCGTTATTACATGATAGTCCTGTGGCTTCTCGGCCTTTTGGCTAATCAAGTGTAAACTAACTTGGTCCCATTGTGCAAATGACCATGACAGTAACCCCATCACTGATAACACTAAGTCAGCCTTCATATAAGCTAGAAAATATCAAGAACCATGTAGTGAAGCAATTATTGGCCCATTAATTCATCCTATTCAATATTGCTAAAGCCTTAAATTGTGTAATGTAAAGAGACAAATTAGTTGGGATTTGAGGAAAGAACAGACCTCTTAAGCAACTACTTCTGTGTTTGCTGAAGGTGGCGCTCCTTTTCCGTGGTAGAGCCACAGTTTTACCAAGAAATGTCTCACTCTACTATAACAGGTTTTATTTGTTTTTCAGTGTATTTGGTAGTATTTACGGAGTCATTACGTTTATTGAGATCTTATAAAAACTGAAAAGTAATGACTCTTAAATTGCTATGTGCTTTGCTTCCATTTTCGTTTCTATTCTGAGCCCCATTTTGGATAAAGTAATTTCTCCTGACCTGTCCAAAGTGTAAGAATTGCTTGGGCCTTAAGCAGAAGCCTAGTGGCTATAGTCCTCGCCTCGCGCATTCCTGGTCCCATATGGGCACCGGTTCGTGCACAGGCTTCAATGAACCAAGGAGACCTAGTTCCGACAAAATATGCCAAAGTTGAAGCTTTACTTGTTTATATAAGTGTACATTTAGTATCTTCAACTTGATTCTGAAAATTTTCATCCCCTTTCCCAAAAAATTAAAGGTAAACTATTTACTCCTGATAGCTATTTGTAAATTATGTGAGTTAGGGCAGTAATATGTTATATGTAAAAATATAAACACAAACAGGGGAAGGGAAAGTAGCAAGTCTCTTTTCTTGCAACTTGTTGGATATGATACACTCTAATTTAATAAGCATTGTCTTAGAAGAATTATAGAAAATTAAAATTCTGATGCTATAGCTGCATGACAGACTACAATGAGAATTACAAATAAACAATACAGCATGAATCTTTTTGGGGCCAAAAAAATCCAGTATGTGAATGCTGAGTCCTTCCTATACACAGCTTAAAAATAGATTGAGACCATTCTCTAATTTGAGAAGAAATTGTTGGATGGTATGTTCTCTCAAGAACTCATGTAGCTATAAAATCCTGAAATATAGAAATAGTGTGGGGATTAGGTTGTGAGGAAGCACTTTTGTTTTTCCTTGGCGTCGTCCAAGGATATGGACAGAACCTAGAAGACGCAGATCTGGGTCACGGGAATAAAAATGGTTTTTTGAATTGGATTCATTTGATCCATTAAATGCATGAGTTTTTAGTTATTATGCAAATGATACTTCTTACAGTGTTAGAGGACAAAAAAGAAGTCAATGCCAGCTCTCGTTTACACATCAGCACCTGAGACCAGGAGAAATTTCACAACAAAGCCACGATTATTCCTCTAATAGAATAGTAATAGAAGATTTTTACAAAGTGAACACTTAGGTCAGATGTTCTTTGAAAATGTTATACCATTATACTGTGTTATTATACTGTCTAACTTAAAATGGAAAATAGTGTCTGAATCAGTGAACTGATTTTTATTTCTTTTTTTCCTCTAGAACGTCTTGATTGTTGAAGTAAGTTCTACATTTACTTTTAATATATTTAGTATTTTCTAACTTAGTATGCACCATCTTAAAGGAAAAGAAACTGCTCTTAAAACTGGTTTAATGGTGGGCTTGTGTGTTATAAAGACTACTTAGTAAATGATTATTTGCTGATAAAGAAAAAAGTTTTCTTTTTGTCTACATAACTTTTTGATTTGAAAGTTCTCTCTCCTAATTATGCCATAGTCATATTGTATATAAAGGCTTATAGTTTAATGTTTTCTATTTTACATAATGTTTTGTACGTGTGAAAGAATATTTCTGTTACTTTCTTTTTCCTGTTATGTCCTATAAAGTATTTTGTACATAATAATAGCCAGCTTTATCCAGTGCTTACTTTACCAGGGACTGTTCTAAGAAAGCAAACACAGGAAGATTAAACACTTTCTCAAGGCTCTGAGCTACTAAGGGAAGCGTCAGATCACCACTTCCTTTAGCTCCGCAGTTCTCAAAGTGGGATTCATAGACCAAGATGAGCCCCAGCAAACGATGCTTAACAAGCATCCATGTAGGTCTATTGACTGCTAAGGTTTAAGAACCTTTGGCTTATGCCTAAGTCACCATTTCATTGAGGCCTTTGCTGGCCATCCTGTACCAAAAGCTCACACTTCCAGCTTCTCAAATTCTTTCCCTCTTTAATACTTTTTGACGCCTTGATTTTTTATCACTCTTTTATAGCCTACTGTACCTCTTTAATTTTTTGTCTCTGATCTCTCATCTCAGATACTTCTGCCTTCCTGATTTTTATAAACTTCTGAAGCATAGTTTGTTATCTCCTGCTCAGACCTTATTCCCCCATTCTTTAGTCTTGAATTTTTTCGTGTGACCTCAACTTATAAAAACAATCTCATTCTCTTGAAACTTTCTTGCATTTTCTTCATGCTTTTCACAGCTTCCTGGAGCCTGTGCTTTCATTCTCTGCCCTTTGATTTTTGTTCCGTATTTCTTTTCTGTAAAATAACAGCTTTAGTGGGATATAATTCGCATACTGTTCACCCACTTGAGGTGCACAATTCGATGACTTTTATTATATTTGCAACATTGTACAATTACTGCATTCAATTTAAGTATGTTTTTGTCCAACAAAGAAAGCCAATCCGCTTAGAGATTTCCCCTTTCCGCAAGAAACTCATCATCTCTTTCCTAACTCTGTAAGATTTACCTGTTCTGGATATTTTGTGTAAATGGTAGTAAACACATGGCATTTGTGTATGGCTTATTTCCGTTAGCTCAGTGTTTTCAATGCTTATGTGTGTTATGGAGTATGTCAGTAGTCATTGCTTTTTATTAGCAAATAATATGCTATATTTTCTTCATCCACTCCTACTTTTTGCTATTTCTTGTTATTTACGTGTCTTTCCTCCCTCCCTTATCCCATGTTTTAATTCGTCATGACCCGGCTGAAGTTACCTCCATAAAGCCTTGCTTCATATTCCTTCCCTCCTCAACTTACTTGAATCTTTGAATTTTAATTATGAAGTATTTTGAAGACAAGGATTTATTCAACACACATGTGCCTACCCCAAAATATTTACATTTTCTGTATTTGCTTCAGATCTCATTTTTTAAAGGAAATTAAGCATCCTACTACAGCTAAAGCCCTGGTTTTCTTCACTTTGCCTTTATTGCCAGAGGTGTGATAACTGTGCAGGTTTGAGCACAGATTCCCCCTGGCCTGCGGGTCTCACCAGGTTGCTCACAGGCTGCTGACTGTGGCTTCTGTCTCACCTGGGACTTGTGTTGTTCACACTGTTGGCCGGGTTGACGTCCTTGTGGGTTCAAGAGCTGAGGGGCTGTTTCGCTGCTGGTGACTCACTGACTCCAGGTGTGTTCCCCAGATGCTAAAGGCTGTCCTCTTGTTCTAGCCCAGGGCCCTCTCATAATTTGGCAGCTGACTTCTTTAAAACCAGCAGCCTGCTACATCTGTCTTGTTGAGTATAACCCAGCCACCAGAAGAACTGGCAGCAGCATTTTTATAGATCTCCATCTCACTCAAGAGGATGGGATTCTTCCAGGGGTGTATGCACGAACGGTCTAGAATCCTAGAGCTAGCCGGAGTCTGCCTAATATGACCCAGAAATGTGCAGCTTTCAAAAGTCTCCAACCCTGCCGTTTCTGATGGCTTACCATGCTTTATGCTATCTTAAATAAGTGTTTTCTTGGAAGAGGAACTACGTTCAAAAAATATTTTCCCTTTTCAGAGGTGCATTTATTTCAAATAGTGTCCTACTTTCAACTGAATGGCTGAGATTAACTTTCATGTAAAGCCATTTATATATTAAACCTTCGTAATTTGTGTACTTTTCAGCATTGTATTGAACAGTGCTTCTCACTTCCCAAAGCAGAGGGGTCTGTTTACGACCTAATGGGAGAGTTTGGGGAGAGATCCTCTGTCTTAGGTTTATTTAAAAAACCACACTATAAAGCTTTCATGATACCTGATATCATAACTAATAAAACATGCATATATATACAGCAGTTATGCATATATATGTATATGAAATTATTCGTGGATCTTTATAGAATTAGCACATGATATTGCATATTTATGATATATTGTGCTTGTGTGTATTTAAATTTGCTGTCATTGACCTCACTGTGCCTACAAAATTGAATCCTGGGACTGACACACTTACTGCTTACTGAGGGCTGGATGATTTATAGATTCCAGAAAAATCTCAGTGTGGGAATTTTGATAAGAACCACTGAAGCAAAAGAAAACATCCAATTATACTTGGGAGTGGCGCTATGTTGTAGAGATGGTGACTCTGAAGTCAAAGGCATGCTGGTTTTATTTACTATGTAAATGTTTTTTTTCTTTTTAAAGGATATAATTGACACTGGCAAAACAATGCAGACCTTGCTTTCATTGGTCAAGCAGTATAATCCAAAAATGGTCAAGGTTGCAAGGTAAGTATATTTGGAGAAAGGATAATGTATTCATGTGAAGGCAAATTAAGTAATTGCTTCTTTTTAATTTATGAAAGTTCTCAGCTGTCATTTTTATCTTTAAAACAGCAATGTAATCTCAAGACTTGGAAATATCTTTCTAAATAATTTTGTTGTGCATTAATAAGCTTCATTAGTCATTTTTTGCCTCATAATAACATTGGAGTCTTTAACATGTGAATTATATCAGCTTGTCCTGAGTGTCATGGGAGAGAATTTTGGGCCTCTTTTCAAAATTGAGAATAAGGATCCCAATGGGAAATAAGGATGTTACAGGAAGGCTTTGGGGCCCCTAAAATTGAGTATTGTCTTTTTTATCTTGTTTTGTGTCCACATTAAAATGTTACAGGACCTTCTTGTAAGCTAGCCTCACATCCTGGCCTTTCCTGTGTTGTTTGGCATTTTCGTGTATTCTTCTACCCATGAGTGTCTCTAATTATAGGGTTTTAGAAGAAGATTGATTTTACTTATTTGAAATGCAAAGTTCCAGAGGGAGACAGAGACAGCACATGCAAGAGTGCTAACTGCCTTTGGTTCACTCTCCGAATGCCCTGAATGCCAAGAGCAGACCTGGCTGAAGCCAGAGACCTGGAGTATTAACCAGGTCACCCACATGGATGGGCAGCCACTCAGCTACTTGTGCCATTGCCTCCCTGGGTGTGCATTAGCAAGGAGCTGGATCAAAACCAGCTGGGACATGAAGCCTACTGTGCATAGCTGGCCTTGTAATTGACCTAACTGCAGTGCCACAATGTCCGTCCCTCAAGTAGCATTAGTATTCCCACTTTATTGACGTTGGGAATTGCCCTAAGTCACAGGGCTATTGAGATCTAGAGGTGGGATTTGAACCCAGAAGAAATAGCACAAAGTCCATCCATTTTTTATTCTTAAATTTGCTGGTGTAGTAACACTGCTGATGTTTTGTGTGTGTTGTTTTTACTTTGATAATATTATTTTTTAACTCAATTTAATTAACAATGCCTTTCGAGTTAATTGATTTATCAGTCAGAGATAGAATATGAAAATATGAAGTTTTATTCAATGCAGAGTTAAGAATAACTAAATAGGGCCTGGCACAAGTGTCCTAGTGGCCAAAGTCCTCACCTTGAACGTGCTGGGCTCCCATATGGGTGCCGGTTCTAATGCCAGCAGCTCCACTTCCCATCCAGCTCCCTGCTTGTGGCCTGGGAAAGCAGTTGAGGACGGCCCAATGCTTTGGGACCCTGCATCCATGTGGGAGACTTTAGATCGGCACAGCACCGGCCATTGTGCTCACTTGGGGAGTGAATCATCGGACGGAAGATCTTCTCTGTCTCCTCCTCTCTATATGTCTGACTTTGTAATAAAAATAAATAAATCTTAATAAAAAAAAAAAGAATAAGTAGGGTATGGCATCGTGGAGCAGCAGGTTAAGCTGTCTTCTGGAATGCCAGCATCCTATGGAGAAGAACTATGTAAATCCTGGCTGCTCCACTTCAGATGCAGCTGCCTACTAAGACACCTAGGAAAGCTGTGCTGGAAGATGGCCTAAGTTCTTGGGCCCCTGCCACCCACACTATATACCTGGGTATAGTCCCAGTGCCTGGCACAGCCCCAGTTATTACAGTCATTTTGAGAGTGAATCAGTGGCTGGAAGAACTCTCTCTCTGCCTCTGTCACTCTGTCTTACAAAGAAATAAAATAAATTGAAAGATGGATGAGTATGAGACCAGCATTGTTGCACAGGGGGTAAAGCCTCCACCTGCAGTACTGGCATTTCATGGGCTCTGCATCATATCCTGGCTAAATAGGTAAATCTTATCAAAAGCACAAATAAACATTTTAAATTAAAAATTAAAAGCTGTTAACTGATAGGATTGTAAAGTGGCATGGCTGTTCTGGAAAACAGTTTGGCAGTTTCTTTCAAAAGTGTACATGTGCCAGTATGAACAGTTTCACTGTTGAGCAGTTTGCATATGAATCACAGACAGTTTGCATATGAATGTTCATGGCAGCCTCATGCATCATAGCACCGAGCTGGAAGCTGAGTGGTTAAACAGAAGGTGGTACACACATACCATAGGATAACACTCCGTAACAAAACACCCTACTGTTCATACCTCCTCAAAGGAGCCATGTTGATAAAAGCCAGTCTCAGAAGGTTATCTACCTCATGATTCCATTTGTACAACATTATTAAAATGACAAATATAGAAAACAAGAGAACAGATTAGGAACCAGCACGGTAGCCAAGGGGTTTACATCCTCGCTTTGTATGTGTGGAATCTCATATGGGTGTTAGTTTGTGTCCTGGCTGCTCCACTTCCCTTCCAGCTCCCTACTTGTGGCCTGGGAAGACAGTCAAGGATGGCCCAAACTTTGGGACCCTGCACCCGTGTGGGAGACCTGGAAGAGGCTTCTGGCTCCTGGCTTCACATTGGCTCAACTCCAGCCGTTGCAAGTACTTGTGGAGTAAAGCAGCAGATGGAGGATCTTTCTCTGTCTCTCCTTCACTCTAAATCTGACTTTCCAATGGCAAGAGAACAGATTAGTGCCTCGTAAAATCTAGATACAGGCTGTTCGCTATTGTCTGTGATATGAAATTGAAACAGGATTGGTTCACCAACGTCTGTGTCCAAGCACTTGGGCCATCTTCCACTGCCTTCCCAGGTGTATCAGCAGGGAGCAGTCAGGACTCAAACTGGTTCCCGTATGGGATCTGGCACCTCGGGCAGTGGCTTTAACCACTATACCACAGCACAACCCCTTTCATACAGCTTTTTTATTTACTTTTGAAATTAAATTATTTGGTTAACATAGTTCTTATACGTTTTTGTGTAGTACAGTGTAATATGTTAATACATACACAGCATAAGGTGATAAGATTGTGCACTTCTTTTTACTTTGGTTTTTTTAGATTTATTTTTACTTTTTATTTGAAAGGCAGATTTACAGGGAGACATATCCTCTGTCCGCTGATTTCCTCCCCAACTGGCCATAACAGCTAGAGCTGTGCTGATCCAAAACTAGGAGCCAGGAGCTTTCCCAAGCCGTGAGCAGGGAGCTGGAAGGGAAGTGGAGCCACTGGGATACAAACCAGTGCTCATGTGGGATGCTGGCATCACAGGTAAGGCCTTGGCCTGCTGTGCCATGCCAGCCTCACTATTCACTTTTCTTTGTCTTGGAGGCTACCAGCACCTCTTTCAGTTCTTCATGCAGAATGTAGTAGGACTTTTGAACTAGTCTCTCCTCTGTGCTGTGGAATACTGGCACTTGTCACCTCTGATTGTTTTTTGTTATCTGTTATTCTATCTCCTTATATCCTCTTACTCCTCACCTTTCCCAACCTGTTGTAATCACTTTAGCAGTTCAGATGGAGCTTCATTTTAAGCCTCGAGATTTGTGGGTATAAGGGGTGCTGCACGCCCCTGATTGCATGACACAGCTTGCACTGAGTGCAGCAATACCTTTTCTGGAGTGTCCTTGAGTTCAGGCAGGGAGAAGGGTTTTTGCTGCGATTGGTTTGTTATTATCTTTCTAAATGGAAATTGAGTTCAAGTGTATCCTCTGACTAATTACTGGAAGAGAATCATGAGGAACTTGATTAGATGTTCCTTGGAGCTTCGTGCTTAGACCAGTGCTTCTAAACCTTGGCTGCACATTGGGAACCCCATGAGAGTTAACAAATAAACAAACAAAAAACCCAAACAGTCTGATGGAGCTGCTCACGGGCGTGGCCAGAGTGTGTGAGTTTTATAAGTTTTATAAGAACCCAGGTAGTTCTGATGTGCGGCCAAGATTGCCAGATTTTAAATATATTTATCTAAGAAGGTATGAAATAAGTTTTATTGGGACTGTCTTTAGCGTATGTAAAGGCTTTCAAAGTATCTTCTACAACTTTTGAAAATTTTCTTTATTTATTTGAGAAACAGACACAGGGAGCGCCCATTCACTGGTTCGTTTTACCAAATGTCTGCAATGGCCAGGAACCTTGGCTGTAGCTATGAGTCAGAAACTACTTGCAGGTCTTCATTTGGGCAACAGGGACAGGGCATTAATGGGAGCCTGGGATCAGGTCCTGGAGCTGGGAATTGAACTCCAGGACTTTGGTTGGTGAAGGATTCAGGCATTGTAACCTCTAGGCTAAATGCCCTGTCCGCCTCCTCCAACTCCCACTTCCCCTGCCATGGCTGAAACATTTCAACAGACACGATTTAGGTTGCAAAATCAGCTTTTTGTAAAACTGGCTTACCTCACCTACAACTTTTACTCTCAAAAATGCCACTTCCTTTAACACTAGTTAGGTTTTTTGCACCTGCTGTTCTTGCTTACAAGCCAAATGTTCATGTTTTTGTTGAAAAATGATGCTCACCTCTCCCACACCCTTGAGAGCTTACGGATTGGATTGTATTTCCAGGGTTTCAGCCCAAGAGCCCTTATCTTTGTGTCCTTGCTGATTGTCACTCTACCCCATGAGTGGCCGCAGAGGGAGTCAGCTCCCAGAAGGATCCATTTGGCCCTGGGTGGAGGTCAGTCAAGGCCTCATTGCTGTCTGCAGGCTCATTGCTGCCCCCCCCCCCCCAACACACCCAGCATCTCCAGGATTTCGTCCTCCATTTCCAAGTCTTACGGGTATTAAACCTGACCATGGTATGATAAATGCAGATGAAACCATTTAAGAGCGTTAATATTCTCTTTTGTGATGCCCATATGTCTCTTGTATCATTTTATAATTAACAGCCTGCTGGTGAAAAGGACCCCTCGAAGTGTTGGATACAGGCCAGACTGTAAGTGGATTACTGTTTTTGTCAATCATTTAACCATCTTCAACCTAAAAAAAGTTGTATATGAAATGGCTTAGTTACTTTAGGGAACATTTGCAGAGAAGGCATATTTGCAAGTATTAAAATTGAAAGCAATATATTTTTGCATCTAAATGATGAATTATGATTCCTTCTAGTTGTCGGATTTGAAATTCCAGACAAGTTTGTTGTAGGATATGCCCTCGACTATAATGAATACTTCAGAGATTTGAATGTAAGTAACTTTTCTTATTCTCGCTCTCGTTTTTCAAGACCCACATAAAAATTTAGGAAAGGCAAGAATTGTTTTCTCTTTCCAGCACCTCATAATTTGAACAGGCTGATGGTTCCCATTAGTCACATAAAGTTGTAGTCAAATACAGACGTCCTTACACAGCTGGAAGTTGGCCAGGCTAGGGTGATAAATGTGGTCATAAGAAAGAAAGAAATGATAGTGTTTTAAGTCTTTTCATTTACTCTCCTTCCAGTATTCTGCTGTGAAAACAGAGTTCCATGGATACAGCTAGGAACGTGACTATGAGGGGACCACAACAGCATTCTAGCAAAACGGGCTTTTTTATGCTTTTTTTTCTCTACTTACCCTGCCCCCTCCCACTTTGATACATTTCAAATTGCCTGCTTCATTTGTTATTTAAAAGTGCATATTGAGATAAAAAATAAACTAATGGGACAAATTATGCATTTGGTTCCAACACACTCCCTGAAAGTTACTGTTTGTTTAGCCAAAAGCCTGGCAGCACAAAGCTATCCTTACCAGATAAGAATAGCTTGCCTTTTATTTTGGAATACGCTCTTCTAATGTGAATCTCTCAATTTTTATTTTGTAGCATGTTTGTGTCATTAGCGAAACTGGAAAAGCAAAATACAAAGCCTGAAGATGAAGGTTCAGGCTGAATTTGGAAAACATCAGGAGTCTCATTGACATCGCCAGTAAAGTGATCAAATGTCTGGTTCTGTGGCCATCTGCTTATAAATAGAGCTTTTTGCATGTACCTTATGAAAGTTTTTATCTGTTTTATATTTTAGATATGTCATTTGCTGCATTCCTAAACTCTTTGTTTGCACTATGAGCCTATAGACTATCAGTTCCCTTTGGAAGGATTGTTAAATGTTAAACTTGTGAATGAAAAAAATTATCTTAAATCACACCACTATGAGATGAAAATATTGAAGTTGTATCTGTAAGAAACATTTAAAGAGAAGATATATTAGTTTTTTAATTGGTATTTTAATTTTTATATATTCAGGAAAGAACAAAGGTGATTGCATATTAATTATGTCACTGTGTGTTTAGAAAAGAAAAGCAGTAGTCAGTTTCACATAAAATAGAGCATATAAGAAGGGGTTTTGTTCTGTTGAGTACACCTAGGCCCTGTTATTATTTTATTAGTGTTTCAGTAGCGTTGGCTGTATTTTCCCATATGTTCAGATTGTTTCCAGTGAATCTTTGTCAGCAGTTCCTTTTAAATGCAGTTCAATAAATTAAAAAAATAAATTACCTCTTAGTGAATTCTTCATTGTAAACATCCTTTAAAGTAGACTGTCTCTTTAAAAGAAACTGCCCAACCGTTCTCTACAGATTAACCCAGTGTAGTTTTCTGTTATCTTTTCCTGGTTTGTTAATTTTGGGGGGCTAGTGTAAGTTGTAATCTTTACCAAACATAGGCACTAATGATGCTCTGGTGGAATGGGTTGGTGGAGCTCACAAAGTTCCTTCCAACTTCAGAGATATGAGATTTCAGAGCCTTGGCACGCTTTGCTACATTTTGCTAGGCTAAAATAAGGTGACTTTCTCTTGGCATTCAGTCCAATTGTTTAGGTTCAACTTTCGGCTTCATCTCCGGATTGTTTTCAGACACGTCCTGCATGTAGATAATTTTTTTTTTAAGATTTATTTCTTTTTATTGGAAAGACAGATATGCAGAAAGATCTTCCATCCGCTGATTTCCTTCCCAAGTGGCTGCAATGGCTGGACCTGGGCCGGAGCTGTGCCAGTCCAAAGCCAGGAGCCTCTTCCAGGTCTCCTACATGGGTGCAGGGTCCCAAGGCTTTGGGCCATCTTCGACTGCTTTCCCAGGCCACAGGCAGGGAGCTGGATGGGAAGTGGAGCAACAGCAAAATCCTTTTGCTTTTCTAGGGACTGGGAGAAAAGCTAAACCAAAGCTTTGAATCGCTTCTCTCTGCTCCCAGTGAGGTATGAGCTACCACTGGGCCATCTGACCATTTGGTTCATTAAAATGTTACACCCAGCACCAAAGTAGAAAGCTTGAAACAATACTAAGCAATAGTTTGCTGTAGTCCTAGAACTTCCTAGTTTACAAAATGTTTTCAGCTCTGTCACCCTTCATAGCGCTGGCTGCTTGAGAATAGTGGTACTACATGTGAAGTAAATTGGGTCTCCCCGCCCCAGCAAATGTCACTCAATAGCTAGTTAATACTTCATCTTGCCTCCCACTGCTCAATCGCCTTACTTCCTCTGTTTTCAGTTGCACACAACAGCATGCTGTACTAGCTAAAAGGATTGAACCAGCCAAAAAGTGATTTCCTTCCTTCCTTCCGATTTTGGGGACAGTATTGTATGTTGTAGTTCAACAACATGATTTCTAATTTACATTGGTGTTCATTGTTCAGTTTGTCTACACCCCCTCCCTATCGCTGCTAGAATGTAAGCAGGGAAAAACTGACTCGGATTTATTGAGATGGTCTGCTAATAAAATGCTGTGGCAGGGAGTATGGATTTTTTGCATTCCACAGAGGAAAAACACTTGAGAGCTTTAAGCTGGGTGTGAGATTTCATTTGCATTTTTAAGGGCTGTCTTGAGCTCATTTTAAAATTACAGGGACTTCAGGAAAAATACCGGTAATGCCAGTAATTAGTATTTAATATGTGTCAGATACTAAACTGAGTTGTTTTTATTTAGCCACAGCACATTTTCTAGAACAGGCCATCCCAGATACTCCTCTGACAAATGAGTGGCAACAAGGGACTTGGTGAGGCTGCCCTGGGCGGGATGGCCATCATTTCTTTCCTGGCTTACGGAAGTAGCCTCTGAGCCAAACTATCACTTCCAGCCTTACCTGCCTTCCATGACTGACACATTGAGCAAAGTAATCCTAATTAAACCTTCAGTCAGATCCCAGGCCCTCCTGTCAGTCAAAATCCCTAGCAGATAGAGCGTCTCCTCACCCCTGCCTACTGCCAGCACCCTGCGCAGGCTCCTCAGCACTGCTTCCTTCCCACAGCACTGCGCTGCCTCCCAATGGTGTGTGTGTGTGTACTATTTTTTTTAGGGTGAGGGGGATGATGTATTTTAGCAAGTGCATTTCTTTTAAAAGATTTATTTAGAAAGCAGAGCAACAGAGAGAGACTCTTTCCTTCTACAAGATCATTGCCCAGGGTGCGACGCAGTGCCCTAGCAGCTAAAGTCCTCACCTTGCAAGTGCCAGGATCCCATATGGATGCCACTTCTAATCCCAGCTGCTCCATTTCTCATCCAGCTCCCTGCTTGTGGCCCGAGAAAGCAGTTAAGGACAGCCCAAAGCCTTGGGACCCTGCACTCGCATGGGAGACCTGGAGGAAGTTCCTGGCTCCTGGCTTTGAATCAGCGCAGCACCGGCAATTGCAGCCATTTGGGGAATGAATCATCGGACGGAAGATCTTCCTCTCTGTGTCTACTCTTCTGTATATATCTGACATTGCAATAAAAATAATAAAGCTTGAAAAAATTTTAAAAAAGATCATTGTCCAAGCGGCCGCAACAGCCAAGGTTGGGCCAGCTGAAGCAAATAGTCCAAAGCTCCATCCAGTTTTTCTATGCTGTTGTACGGATGGTGGGGCCCAAACACTTGAGCTATCTTCCCATGTCTTCCCAGGCGCATTAGCAGGAATCTGGATCATAGATGAAACAGCCGGGACTTGATTCTGCTTCAAAATGGAATTCCAGCTTCACAGGCAGTGGCTCAACCCACTTTGCCAGCATTTTCACCCCCCAATGAGGTGATGATCTTTTAAAAAATATAAATCAGATTAGGGCTTGTGTTGTGGTAAAGTAGGTGAAGCTGCTGCTTGTAAAGCCAAGATTCCATGTGGATGCCTGTTCAGGTCCTGACTATTCTTTCTGATCCAGCTAGAAAAGCAACAGAAGATGGTCCAAGTATTTAGGGTCTTGCCACCCATGTGCGAGACACCTAGATGAAGCTCCTGGCTTAAAGCCTGGCCCAACCATGGTCATTGAGGCCATCTGAACAGTGAACCGGCATGTGGAAGATTCTGTCTCTTTCCCCTCTCTCTGCAACTCTGGTTTTTAGATAAATAAATCAGATCATACAGCTTGCTTGCTGAACTCCAAAGAAAATGCTGACAATACCCTTTAAGTCCATATGCAAAAGAGCTGCCTGCTTCTCTAACTTCCATGATCAACCTTGCTGTTTTTTTAAATTTATTTTTATTTCCATATTGTTTCCTTCATGTTTAAAGGGGGATATTAAGGGAGAAGGCCCACCCAATTTCTCACCCTCCCCAGGTCCCGGATGTAGGGTATGCTCCGAGGTTCTTGCTCAGGTGGTTTTGATAGTTCAACAGTTATGAATCGCTACCAATCTTGCCACTCCAAGTACTATGAGGTCTTTGAAGAATCCACTGATTGACTTAGTCCATCATAGAGTCTCCGTTTGCCCCGTATTTTGCTGCCAAGATATAGCTGAGATGGTTGTTTGACCTGTTCTTCTCTCTTTTCTTCAACCTTGCTGTTTCTTCAGCCTTTCCCTCCATCTCCCCAAAAGACGAATGCGGGCCCGCATCTCCAAGACCACCTGGGCGAATCCTGCCCTGACCTCTTGCACAGCCTCAAAGTCACTCTCCATAACTCTTACACTTCTCGGCTGATTTTTAGAGTCTCAAATGGTCAAGCAGTTCCTAAACAACAGCAGCTGCTGCAGCAGCTCAGCTCGCTCGAGCAGACAGGTCACTGGGTGTGGGCTTGGCGGGGAAGGAAACGGGCCCAGGTGGACACCCAGCTTGCTACTTCCATGAGAGGAAAGTGGTGTGTCAACCCTGCATCCCAGCCTCTGGGGGGGAGGGAAGCAGTGGGCTAATGGGGACTGGAGGGAGGGGCAGCAAGTGATGGATCATGTAGTGGTGTTGTCGCCTCTCCCCTGGGAGAAATGGATCCCTGGCTTTCAGTTGCCCTGGCCCTTGGGAACATTTGGAGAGTGAACCAAAAATGATTTTAAGAAAGACTAGCCACCATCTACCAAACTATTTCCATATAATGTCTATGTATGTATGTATGTGTATGTGTGTGTGTAACTTTTATGCGTATCTATGTAATGGAACTGTGCTTCCACACTTGAATCCTTCATGATAACTCCTGTAAGGGAGTTTGCTTTGTTTGTTTTGAGTTGGAGCTTAAGAAATGTAGGTTGCGTAATTGGCTCAGACTCACAGCATATGAGGAATTTTAATCCAGGCAATTCTATTCCCTAATCTCTCTCGATTCATTGCCGCTTTATCTATAGAGCCCAGCTCTTAGGTCAGAATGATCACACTCATAACATAGTTCAAAACGTTAAGCCAGCGAAGGTTAAGCCAGCCCAAAGGATGTGTGCGTTCAACACAGCTTTTTGAGATCACAGCTGACTTTTCCAAGTGTAAGCTGCCTTGTTGCAGGGGTAAGAATTTTCAAAGACTCGTGGGATTTCTCCATTGTGCTCCTTAGGCTTTTCTGCTGCCTTTACCACCTGTGGGCAGCTGTAGACAAAGACCTTTGCCGGCAGGAAGGGTCGTATTTGCTCTGCCGTTTTTGAATGTGAATTTTCTGGACACTTCAAGCCACTTGGAAGAGTGATGATTTTTTTTTATCTGTGACTTCACGCATAAACTGTCAAGCTTTATGTTTTTCTCTATACAACATGGGTGTACTTCATAATGGACTTCCTTGTTGTGACTGAAGTGACTTTCAAACTTGGTTGCTTTTCAATGAAACTTTCTTAACATTCTTTCCATTCCTTTAATGATGACTGTATTAGCTCTGAAATGATAGGTTTGGTTAGATGCTGTGTGACTTCCTTTTCCCAGAATTCTTTTTAAGATTTATTTTATTTGAAAGGCGGGGACAGGGAGAGAGAATGAATATGAATCTTCCATCTACTGGATTACTCTCTGAATGGCTGCCACAGCCAGCTCAAAGCCAGGCCCCAGCCGGGAGCTAGGGACCCCTTCAGGTCTCCCACATGGGAGCTCAAGTCCTCAAGCCGTCATCTGAATGCCATCCAGGGAATATGAGCAGAAGTCTGATCGGAAGTAAAGCGGCCAGGACTTGAACCAGCGCTCTGAAAGGGTTGCTGGCCTTACAAAGAGCAACTTAATGTCCTGGACCACAATGGTGTTCCCTGCCTGCAACGACTAGTCTCGCATTTTTCCCTCGCCTTTTGTAGCCTCTTGTCAGACCCCTGTTTTGAGCACGTCTCTATGTTCTGGCACCACAAGACATACTACAT